AGTGCCGTTGAGTCCCAATAACTTCTTCGAGAAGGCAGGAAAGCCATACTGTGAACGCGATTATCACAAATTATTCTCTCCTCCCTGTGCTGGTTGTGATCAACCAATTAAAGACACGGTATATTCACTATACAATATCAAAGTCTTATTGATACTGGTAATACATTTGAATTGTATAAATATTTCAGAAAAAAATGGTTAAGGCGTTGGGCAAGAACTGGCACCCGCAGTGCTTCCAGTGTCACAAATGCCATAAAGTATTGTCACCTGATGATTTCATGGAAAAGAGTGGTAAACCTTATTGTAAAGAAGATTATCACAAACTATTTTCGCCCAAATGCTCCGAATGTAATCTCCCGATTGAGGGAACGGTAATATAATATGAAACCATTTTTAAAATAGGTTTAATTGCAATATATTTCAATAAACAGCCATTGGTTGCAATGGGCCGTCAATGGCACCCGAACTGCTTTAAGTGCTTTCAGTGTGGAGTGCCTTTGAGTCCTAATAATTTCAAAGAGCACGACGGAAAGCCTTATTGTAATAAACACTTTCAAGAGATGTTTTTGCCTAAATGTTACGGATGCAAACTTCCTATCGCTGATGTAATGTATCACTGAATTATTAATGGATTAAGTTATCAATTAATACAAGTTTTTACACAAACAGAAAGTACTGAAGGCTTTAGGAAAGACATGGCATCCCGAGTGTTTCGCTTGCGTTCAGTGTCACAAACCGTTGGGCACTGACGGATACCGTGAGAAGGATGGTCTGCCGTACTGTGACTTCGACTATCACGCGCTCTTCTCCCCCAAGTGTGCCGCATGTCATGCGCCCATTCGGGAGGTCTATTCACTTCACTCCACGCTTTCTATTCAGTTACTAATCATTGGTTTATAATCACAGAAATGTCTGACAGCTATGGGCAGGACATGGCATCCCGAGCACTTCCTGTGCCAACACTGCAACAAACAGTTGAGTGAAGACCCGGAGGGATATCACGAGCACAACGACAAG